TAACAAACTAAACAAACTTATTTTACTATTGCTACAAGTGTGAAATAGTGAACCTTATCTATTTTTTCGACCTCTGATTGCTGAAATAATAATGTCCTACCACAATGCAGTTCAATCGAGACTAGACAGCGTTGTTTTATTAAATATATCCATTAGATAAAATTTTCAAAGAAGTCTTACTTTTATTTTATGTTGATCAATTAAAAAAACTATATGTGTGAATCTCAACTTTGTATAAATTTTATCTAAAGAAGTATACGTCTAAGACTATAACTACAGTGACACGAGTATAAGCATATGAGTGTCGAAACTTGGTTATAAGAAGAAAGTAATTCTCGAACTGATTGTTTGCGTTTTTAGTGAAAAAACGCCTGTTCCAACACGTTTTACAAAAAGCACGTAAACTCTAGCAAAAATATGCGGATTACAATAAGAAGACATTCAGACGTAATTTTTTGACCTTTTTTCTCGTGAGTAAATACGAAACAATTGATAAAATTTATCTTGTTGTGATCTGAACCCGATAAATATGATATGTCCATAATATCGTCGAGGTTTTCGTAAAAAGATTTATTCAGAATCCCATAGAGTAACACCACATCTCATTTAAATCTAGATTTCGCTCTGATTTCTAGTTTTCATTCTGGTAGTCGGTCAAAAAAAAAGAATTAGTTCCACTTTCGGTAAGTCTGTGTCCGACAGGTAATTTAAAGATCTGTTGAAGAAGATTTCTATAAATAAAAAAACTCTCGAATTTTATCGATTTATTGTATTTTTCGAATTAGATTAAAATTACTTTCAAATCATAATTGATTTTCGACATTTTTTTCAAACATTTAAGATTAGAAAAACAAAGAACTTGTTGATTATGATGAAAAAAAATAACAGAAATTGATAAATAACATTGTAACAATTTGAATTTGTTCCATCAAAATGAATATATTTTATACAAGAAAGAAGAGACGGATAATTACAAATTAATGGTTGTAGGATAAATGCAAACTTCTTTTAAGATAAATCTGACTGATTAAAAATATTTCCAAATCTATCTATTGAAAATGTTGAATAAATAATAATTACAATTTATACATCTATTTAATGATCAAAATGATATTAAGATTTTATCTCATGATAAATAGAAAAATATATTATGCAATCAACTCTATTAAATTAATGTAAAAGTGTTTTTTGTAGAACTTTCATATATTTTCGAAGAATATAATGAGTGTAAATTTTAAATCGAAGGTTTTCGACTCCTCTTTTCATTATAGATCTTAGCAACTATTCTATCTTATGTGGTATATATGAGTTCCATATATCGACACTAAATGGACTATGCGCTAACAAGCTTTTTCAAAAGAATAATAAAACAACTTTTTTTTTAAATTTTGTCAAACACGATCTAAAAGGACTGTTGAAGTTATTGAGTTGCAGATGTACATTTTCGTGAATCAGAAGAACAAAAAACTGAATCAGGACTCTATCAGTTCCAGGCTTCAAGTCGAACAGATTCTAACTCAAATTTTATTCCAGCAATATCCATACATTTGAATCTTGTTGTTGTGCTTCTCATCTAAGAACTGAGCATAGTATGATAATTGCCCTTTACTTTTCCTTCATACTCATTGCACTATATTGGAAGTGATACATTTCACGATTGCCATTTATTTACAATAGGTACGAATTCATAAATTGAAACATATACTGATTATTTTATTTTTTATACTATGTCACAGTTTCCTTTTATTTCATGTTTTAATTTCACAGTCTTTGTGCTAACAACTTTTTTTTATTGATATTCTTTTTAAGAAAAACGAATTGAAATGTAATAATTCTTATTGAATTAATAGTATACATGAAAGATTAACAATTACACTAATGATTCCTACTGATATTTATTTATAAATAGATAAACGAGAAATCAAAACAAAACAAGGAATTAGGATGAAAGTTAGACTCAAGACTTAATTTTTCATAGCAAAAAATAGAGTCGTAAATGGTCGATAAGTTTTTAACTAGTGTCGAAAAAATCGTTTATGTATTGATTGTCCTTTTGAGATTCCATTTGTGAGAAGTCTTCAGAAAGATATATCATGTTATATTCATTTACATGTATCAAGTTCTTCAAAGATGGCGAAATCATCTTCAAGTACAACTAGAAGAAATCTTTGTAAACGAAATTTTTATCGGATCGGACAAGTCTATACCATGAAAAAGTTGTCCATTTTGAAGCCTGTTTCGAGCATCGCAGTTTTTACAACTCTTTCCAGCGTATAGCCTGCTGTCATGTCGATATCGAATTAGACTGATTAGAACTGTTGTTCAAAGAAAGATTATACAGTTTCTATTACTATTATGACTGTGAGATATAAAAAACAATATTTTCAATTGTCTTGTTTTTCAAAACATCCAAATTTCCTATCATACCATGACTAAGATAACCGACGAACATGTAAATGTTTAGTGTCTGTGCTGATAAAATCTATCACTCTCATAATCAGACTTGAGGGTGTGGATGTGACTTTAGATCAGAAGAAAATTAACACATACACCCTTTTTTTTAATGAATTAGTGAAAATAAAAGGAAAACAATAGTCAGAAGAAAAGGAGGAGAACAATAACTTTCTTAATCTTCACAAAGCTTTCTTCGCATCCGTTTATATGTTCTTTAACAGTGTTACTCAATGATTAATGAGAATATCAAGAAAAGAAAAGTTCCTTCCTCCACGAATGATACTCATCTATTATCCAACGTATCTAAATAATTTACTTTATGGTATAGATTGATATTGAAATATTTGTAGATTTTTTTTTTCTAAGAAACTAATAACAAGATTAAATTGATATTCTAATTTGTGAGTTAGTTGTAAGTGAAGATTAGCGAAAAAAAAGTTTTTCTCTAGCTGCTTATAAACTGTTGGATGTTTATCCGACCTGAATTGGCACCTTTTTTTCTTTTATTTCTGTCGTTGTTGAGGAAAATGATGGTATTGTCGACAAGTTTATTTTCAATCGGAAAAGAGATTTAGTTTTGATGAAACAGAAAAAATAAAATATATTCAGTAAAAAACAGGGAGACAACTACATGTTTTTTTTTTCAAAACAAAAAAAACAAACTCGAATAATATTTTCTTTCATTTATTTTTAGTAGATCATTTGAACAAAAATCTTTTATTTAACAAAAAAGCTGTTTATCTCCACATATTTTACTTTCTTTTTCAGTTTTGTATATTTTCATTTTGATTTGATGATTATTGAATTTGTTTTTCAATAATGCATCTTCCCGATGGTGTTGTTTCTTGTTTCATCGTTGTTATTATAACAGTTCTTGGAAATGCTGCATTAAGAGCATGTTTTTCTATAGTAGAATCAAGATTTTCATCACCATAATGATTATCTACAAAAGATATTAATTTAAGAAAATTCGTTTTTAGAATAGGTTTTTGTTTTGTTTTTACTTTGAAACTCTGTAGTTGAGAAACAGGAGAAAAGTCGATCGAAATCAGTGACGATTTTTTCAATTGGGGAAAATAAACCATTGAATGGAAAATCATCATTACTATCTTCCATTTTAGTTTTTAGAATGAAAAGTTATTTCTCATTGTTCATTTTTATTTTTATTTTTATTTAAATGTGAAGAAATGTATAAACGAAAAGTATATCTTTAGATATTTAATTATCTTTTAGTTTTATTAATGTCTTCATAATATAGTTAAACGTGATCAAGAAAAGGCTGGCGGTATGAATATTGAATAGATACGTGTAAGTTACCAATTGAATGAGTCAATCGAGATATTGCAAAGGTTAAATATCAAATGAAATCATCTCGATAAAATTTCTTAAACAATTATAAAGTACTCAGTTGCATTGATGTCGTTTTATAAAGTGAGATTATTTATTCTTGTATATTATCATAGAATTTCAATGTCTATTGAAGTAAACTTATTTCAAACAAATGTATTGATTTTAAATTTTCGCTTTAGAAAAGGATTTCTTTATCTTGAAATACAAAGAAAAACGTTCTAATGATAAGTTACTTTTTCAAAATGATAAATATATGCATTAAAAGTTAATAATAATGAAATAGAATTTAACAAACAGTTCTTTTTTTCTTTATTCTAACAAAATTGACTCATTGAAATCCTAAGACCAATAGATTCTTTTCCAATTTCAGTTGCTTTTGTAACTCGATATAATTGTCCTATAAATTCCGATAAATGGGCTGCACCGGATAATGGATTTTCACTAAACAAGAATTAAAGATTACTTTAAATTAAATTCGATTTCATTTTTAAATTTCTTACCGATAAATGTGGTACATTGGATGCTGCACAAATATTAAATGGATTATATTCATCATAATTTAATGGATGTTCATCAATTGGATTTTTTTCACGAACACTTAATACTTTCCGTGGCTAAACAAAAGGACACAAAAAAAAAATAAGTTTTTATTGTTTTTTGTTCGTCTTCTAAAATAATTCAATCAAAATTATGTTTCATTGAACAAAGAATAAACTCAATTGTTTTCAAATAAATGAAAACATGAAAAATTTCTATCAACAGATTTGAAATATCTTAAAAGTATTAAAGATATGTTTTTTTCTTGTTTTTTTGGTTTATTTTAAAACCTTTCAAAGTTGAAGTCAAGAAAGAATGAGAATATTTGGTTTGAAAATGAAAGATTAATACTAAAGCTAAAAACCTATTGAGCAACATCAGATGCTGGTTCCAATCAGAGCTGCCGGCCTGGCAGGCCCTCAGGCCGTCCACCAGGCCAGGCCGAATTCTGAAATTTTAGCCTGGCCTGATCCGTCCAAATAATATTCGGCCTGGCCTGCAGGCCAGGCCAGGCTGAAGTTGTTGGCCTGCAGGCTAGACCAGATCAAAATGATC